TAAGTCAGGAATGGAAGGTTAGACATAACCATCTTCTCCCCGAGACAGTGTGGAGAATCTGGACTGGCTAAAGACAGATGCAAGTCCTTGAAGAAACACATGACAGTAATGTGCCCAGGTGGCCAAGAATGCCATGGCATCCTGGCTTGTATCAGGAATGGTGCGGTGAGCAGAACTAAGGAAGTCATCCTGCCCCTGCTCTCGACAATGGTGAAGCCTTGTCTTGTATTCAGTTTTGGCACGTTAGCACAGAAAGGACACTGAGATGCTGGAGCAGGTTCATAGAAGGGCAACCAGGCTGGTGAAGGTCTTGGAGAATATGCCCTAGGAGGAGAGATGACTGAGGGAACTGAGGCTGTTCAGTCTGGGGAAAAGGGGCTGAAGGAAGACCTTACTGCTTTCCTCCAATGCTTGAAAGGTGATTGTAGAAAAAGCGGGGTTGGTCTCTTCTCACTGGTGACAGGATGAGGGGAAATGACCTCAAGTTGCACCAGGGAGGTTTAGGTTGGATATCAGGAAAAACAACTTTACTAAAAGCGTTGCTAAGCACTGGAATAGGCTCTTCAGGGAGGTGGTTGAGTCAACATCTCTGGATGTGTTTAAAAACCGTTTGGATGTGGTGCTCAGTGACATCATTTAGCAGAGTTGTTAGAGTTACGGTAGTGTGGCTAGGTCATGGTTGGACTCCACAATCTCTAAGGTCTTTTCCAACCTGAGCAATTCCATGACTGTCACCCTTCCCAATACCTGATCTCTGTTAATAGTTTTCAGTTTCCAGGACTATTAATTTTTTTCTTTACAAGGCAAGAAAAACAGAAGGCAAAATTTAGAAGTTTAATCTTCACTGAAGCGCATTTCAGGGAACAAAATAAGTGCACAATTCATCTTAATTCATATTTAAACTTAATTAGCAAAAAAGCAGGTACCTCTGGCCCCCTGTTTTTTCCAGGGGAAAAAAAAAGATGAATATCAGCCCTGTCCAAACTAAAACATTTCTTTGAAGTATTTGAACCATGTTCTGAAGATCAAAAAATTTAGAAAATATTTTCATAATTAAGAACTGTCTGAAGAAATACTTTACTATCTCTTCTGTTGCTATTGCTTCTGCAGATCAGTAAGCATACAGACAGCTATATAGCCTGTGTAGGGTTTTATTTGCTAAAAAATAATAATAATAATAATAACAACTCTGTTGAAGTACTTTCAGAACATAAATGAATCTAAACAAAGATTGACCAGAATTCACTTTGATGAGTGGTTCAGAACTATTTGAATCCAAACAAATTCAAGGAAAATATGCATGTATAAATCATAACTAATAAAATTAACAAAACCTGAAAAACTAAATTACTCAGAGCTCTTTTTTGGTCCCTTAGAAAGCACACCAGTGCCTTGTATCTTCTTCAATATTTGGTCAACTGCCAGTTGGGTTAAGAACCCGAGCAAATGGGAATTCGTTCAATCCTTGAGTAGCAAATGCACGGTTGGCTTGAGCTCACAGAAGACAGCTTAAGGGAAATTCTATTCAGCTGTAACTTACACTAGTTGTTCTGATATGGTTTCTAGCAGAACAGTAAAATCAGATTCGAAGTTTAATTAAGTTGAACCATATCTGACTTCAAAACAACATGCCTGTATCTATTCAGGCTACCTTCTTCCCTTTCTCACAGCTAGTTTTTATGACTCAGAAAATCATATACTCAGAAGACAGGAGAGAAAATTGGAATTTACTGCTAAAGTGAGGTGACCTACAGCTGCTTTCAGACAATGCTAACCACTTTAAGTTCTTTCTCCTTCCACTTGTACCTTTTGCAAGAAAAGCTTCCATTTCACTCTTTAACCCTAACAACACAGGATCTGAATCTGTTGTCCCACAAGGAACCCTTTCCCTGGTTACACTCAGAAGAAAGACTTTCACCAGCACCAAGTGCACACATACCTTCAGAAAATGAGCAGCATCATTAATATCAACAGACAATCTGAGTGCTTAAATAGGTGCATGCAAGTGCTCTAAGATCAGATTGCTAGTTTATCACCATTATTTTCAGTTTATAATCTCCATAAGGCAAAGAGCAAAAAACTGTAGTACTCAACATATTAATATCACTTATTACTTAGTAAATAATAGACCTGAGTACCAATAATAGAAGTCCATGTACCTGTTCATCTTCCTATATTTTTGTAATTCTTTTCTTCTAAAAACAGAGTTAAGTCCAGTAAATAAAAAGAAGCTATTCTCTCTGAAAAATGCATGTTTAAGGTACATTTAACATTTTAGCTTTGCCCCCTTTGCAAATGCACAGCATCACCATTCTAATCAAGAATTACAGACTATAAGAAGGATACTATACCATGCTACACATACCACATGTTTTTGCTTCACTAGAAAGATGCTTTCCAACACATTTATCTCCTTTCATTTTACATGCAGTGACACCAGAGAGCTTACAAGAGAGGCTTTAATATCTGATGGAATCTATTCAGTCCTAGCAGCAGAAGTGGTTGGAAGCACTGCTGAAGGAACTACTCTCAGACTGCACTGCATCAGGAGAAGTCACAATGACAGTAGATCATCTGCAGACTCTTTTCTGGTAAGATGTTCCATTAAATGAATAGAAAGCAAATTCAGCTTCAGAAGTCCCAAAGCCACAATGGCTAGCAGGTAGGAGAATATTCTGTAAAATAATCATCACAAGCTTGCTCTCGCCTTGTGCTCCCCCAAAACTCCTTCTTTTAACTGCTGCTGAGTGGAGGGGAAAAAAAATAAAAGAAATATTTCTTAAAGCCCCTCTGCATTTAAATTCCCGTCACTTATTACCAGAAAGTGTTATTTTCTCTGGAATAAATACTGTGCCACTTGCTGCCACTTCTTAAGACGTCAGAGTTGCGCTTTAACCACTGTGCTGTTTATTATAACAGAGAGGACAAAGTTGCTCAGAGAGTTTGCTATGGCAATGCATTGATACCATTCAAGCCACCATAAAATATGTACTTAAGAGCTCTATGATCAGGTATGTGGGGCACAGTTCAGCCCAAAACAAGGCTCTCAAACCAAGTTCTGCCTTTTTAAAGGTGAGCTTTATTAGTGAGAGCTGTAAACAGAGCCTCAAATACAGCACTGTAAGTGGCGTTTCTGTGACCTCCTACCTCTGAAGTCAAAGCCAACCTCAGAGCTGTATTGTCAATCTGCATACATATCCTCACTCACACAGTTCTTTTGCACTTGAACAGTGATCAAGGACTCTAAGCCTATCAGAAATGAGTTCAAAATAATCACTGCCATAACAGTGAGTATTTTACGAGGGCTGTGGGAGGTAATGACTGAGCGTACACAAGTCCATTAATTGATTGTTTTGCATTTAGCTCCAGTAGACAATCCGAGTTGCCTGCTGAGCCACAGCAGTTACTTCCTAAGTGAACACTTTTGAAAATACAGGAGCATTCACTTTCAAAACAGCCAAGCCTCTTTTTTTTTTTTTTATTTTAATAATCTTCTTTTAAAAGAAAGAATATGGCCATCGAAAGAAGCAGCAATTTTCTGCAGGCTATTTCCAGCTGGGATGATTTGACAGGAAGTGTAATTTCACCAGTACTGCCACAGCACACAAGCTGTCCTACGTACTCTTTCCATTCATGTTTTAAATTACCAGCAGTTTTTACCAGCTTCTCTGTAGGTGCCTCCCAGCTCATCACCTTCTCTCCTGTTTCTTAAGATTAAAATGGATTTGCCATACAAATATTTTGTGCTGCAAAAAAAGAAAATGCTATTCCATTTACAGGTCTAAAATCCAACTTTCTATTTGCAGTTTAGTAAGGGCACAGTTTAGCAGGTCAGATTTATGTAAGTTGTCCTTAACTTGTAAAGGAGCGTACTACTACTTGCCTCCTGTAATGCTATAATGCAATAGAAAGTACAGCGATAACAGCAAGGTGGCAAAGACTTTGGCAGCCGCAAATGAGGACAAACCCAAACACAGCAGCTGTGGACACAAATGAAGAAAATCTACTTTCCTTTGGAAGGCCTAAGTTAAGCATGGATCTCCAGCAAGATACCCTCACCTCCACTGCCAACCCTTAAATGAGGGCTGGGAAGGGGTGGATCTTGGATTGCTGCATTGCATGCACCTGAGCTCCCCTAGGTTGACCCTGCCTTCCCACCAGGCGCTCAATCACCTGTTTTTCAAACAGATCTGGAAAATTTTGCCATTTCTTAATAAACATGGATCTTCCCAAAAAAGCAAGGAAAAATCATTTTGCCATACACTGCAAGATTGCAAGCAAATTAATACTTAAAAAACAATTACAGTATGTCATTTGAACAATCATTTATTGAAACTAGGAATTCTGTGTGAAGGCCTCAGTCCAATACTTTCCCCCTTTTAAAAAAGAAAATTTCTTCCCAGTTTCCTAAATAAACCTTAGTGTTTTCTTGGGAGAGCACAGTGTTTGATTTTTTTCCTTGAACACAAAAATCAGGACAGGGAAGGGGACATCAGGAAAGGGGGACAGCTTGAGTAACCTGACCTAATTCAGTTTGTAGCTGAGAAACATCAGAAGTGAGCACACACTCAAAAGGATTATGAAAACTTCAGGAGGTATTTTTTCACTGAGCAATCATGAATTAACCTAATGAAATGTTAAAAAGCAATTTTGTATTTGTTCATGGGAAGGGAAAGTTTTCTTTCCTCAGGCAAGCAGGAGTACACAAGCACTAATCCCCTGTTCCACTCACAGTGTACCACCATCCCTTTGCTACCCAAGGACATAAGAAGCAACAATTGCAGCATCTAGTCCTCAAACTCTCAATCCATGTCAAAATGACACTCTACCAGAAGTAAAGAACATTGAAAACATGCCACTACATTTTAAAAATCTTCCAGGTGAGATTCAGGAACTACAGACAACAGAACCCAACATACGTGTTTCTTCAGAACAGTATCATAAGCACATTAGTCAGCGTGACTCAAAGAGGAATCAGCTTTGGTCAAGGGAAATCACACCTCATCAGTTTGCAAATTCAGTGACAGGTGGGCAAAGAAGATCCAGTCGATCCAGTCTTCCAAGAGGTTTGCAGTGAAGCCTCCTCAGAAGAATTTGTGAACATAAACAGCTGTAAGTCAAGTAGTGCCGAACGAGCAGCCCCCAGAGGTCAAATAAAGCTGACAGTAAATAATTACAGAATCATTAAACATTAAGAGACAAAATCAGCCATTTGTTCTTTCATTCAGTGGAACAGAAATACCTTGCAGTCCCCATATATTTGTAAGCAATTTCAAACAAAGTATAAATAGCTATATATATATATATAAAAAAAAAGCCATATTATCTTGAACTGAGAGAGTAAACAGAAGCATCAATAGGAAGGAGTTGCAAAGAGAACTCAAAATGAGGAGTGGATTGCCAGTACAATCCATTACGTGGTTCAGCCTGCTCTGTCACAAAGACACATTGCTGACTTGGTGTACTTAATGTAAAGCAAGAAATATTTTCAATATATTGTTATGAGTCCTGAATCAATTGATCAACTGAAAACACTGCATTTAGAGCTTTGTTACAATTTTGAACCTATTTCTGACGCACAATAAACAAAGTCAAATGCTGTCTTTTGAGGGCTGTCTTACAGATGTCTTAAAAACTGCAAGTAAAATGGATGCAGTCTCTCCAGCACAACAAAGACAATTAAATGAAACTAGCAAATGCTAAGTGCAAAAATAAAAACAGAAGAGTCCACACATTGCGCAGTTCAGCTGTGAAGCTTCTTGCTCCTAAATACTTAGAGTTTGTAGTCAAAAAGAGAGCAGACTCATAAAGGAAGGAAAAAAATTGACATATTTTGTACTACTAAATATGTAGACATCCAGCTGCATCTCATGATGTACCTAAGATGAATTACTAGAGCTCAGATTTCTAGGAAAAAACATGAACGTACATTTACCTCACACAGAAACTTCATGGAAGCATCTATTATAAGTAGACAGAAATAAACATAAAACTTCAGTGTTGCCTGCAACATCATTCTACTCACAAACAGAAATATCTTACATAAAATCTTAAATATCCACCTTAATCTGGGTAACAGTATAATGCAATAGAAAGTGGAGCAATAATAACAGGGTAATAAAGTCCTAGCCTACAGCAAGTGAGAATAAGTCCACAGAAGCAGTGGACACAGAAACAAAGGGGAAAAAAAAAAAAAAAAAAAAAAAAAAAAAAAAAAAAATCAACTTACCCTTGTAAGGGCTCAAGTACACAGGGATCTCAAGCAACATACCCTTACCTCCACTGCCAACCCTTAAATGAGTATTCCTTGTGCCAGAGACAGATCCTGTCTCCACCCTTTCCAGTCACTCAGCTGCATTGCATGCACCTGAGCTCCCCTGGGTTGGCCCCGCCTTCCCACCAGGTGATCAATCACTGATTCTGGCCGTGACTTAGCATTTCTGCTACAATCTGGAAATTTAGAAATAGACAGGCCTCTAAATAAACGAAAAACAACAGAAGAAATAGCAGCAAAATAATTGATTTCTTAACCCTACGGAAACCACACAACTGGAATAATATTCCTGTTCTGTCAAAACCTGTCCAGTTATTTATACACTTTTAAATTCAGAGTAAGAGTTTTTTTTTTTTTTTTTTTTTTTTTTTTTTTTTTTTTTTAATAAGAG